GCCTTATAAAGAAAGAACAAAATTTTAGCGAACCCTCATGTAAGGATATGGCCTCTAATCCGTAAAGACCAGTCCATGATTTTTCTACAGAAACTGAAAGCTGGCAACCATTAAATTGTTTGATAATTAAGTTCCATATGTTTTTCAATCAGTAGTATTGCAAGTAAGACTAAGGTTTTGTTGGATAATCACTTAAGTCTGAATTCTGAACACTCAACATTAATACTGAAGTTGAAGCCTAAACACTAAATTCATATTGTTCGGGAAAAAAACCGTCTCAATTTGATGTTTGAAGTCTTAATACTGAATATTAGAAGTTTTGTATGAATGCTCGTTCATTTAATTATCAAAAAAATACTATAAGTTGGGGTTCCGTCTTTACTATATGCATGAAGTTCAAATCGTTCTAATTAAATGCCATAAGTTGTATTTTTGTATTTTTCCGCTTTTCTGTCCAAGAACCGTTAAATTTATGACGGTCAAAGGTCAATTGTTGACTTGTCAAAAGGGTACTTTCGTCTTTTAAATAAAAATAATTAAAACAAAAATAAAAATTAAAAAAAACTATGGATAATTTTCGTTTTTTTACAATACTTATTTTAAACAATAATTTCCAAACCTAACATTTCTCCTCCCTATCTTCTTCCCGTCTCTCGTCATCTCTCACCACCTCCCCCCGCCCCCGCCCCCTCTCTCTTCCTCCCCTTTCTTCTTCTGTCTCTACTCATCTCTCAACCCCACCCCCTCCCCCTCCCGCCGCCCCCTCTCTTCCTCCCATTTCTTCTTCCGTCTCTGTTCATCTCTCACCCCCCCCCCCGCCGCCCCTCTTTCTTCCTCCCCTTTTTTCTTCATCTCTCACCCCCTCCCCCTCCCGCCGCCACCCCCCTCTCTTCCACCCCTTTCTTCTTCTCGTCTCTCTTTATCTCTCATCCCCACCCACCACCATCCCGTCTCTTCATCCCCTATCTCTTCTTGTTTTTCAGCTCACCGACCTATTTCTTTTTTCTGGGGCTTCTTTTATGTTGCTGCTGCCATATGGGTGTTGCAATTGCTTCTTGTGGGAGTTCTCTTAAGCTTTGTACTAATTTGAAGTCAATTGAGAAGCAGCAATCTATTGCTAAAGCTTCTTGCTTTACTTTTTTCTTTTGGTTTGGATCTGGTGCAGGGATTCGGGTTTTCCTCCAAGAAAACGTGTTTTGCTTTTCTGTCTTATTTTGATCTGTGTTTAGCTACGATGGGGTTCATCGATTTGTAATTCGTCGATTCGTAATTTGATTAGCAGATGAAGAAAAAAAAAAGAATTTCTCCAAATTCCGGGTGAGGATTTGATGTGCAGTACTGTAGTAGTAGTATTTTAATTTGCCATCGGATGTGGTAGATCAGCGAAGCGTGGGCGGGCGCGGAGTTGCGCGGAGTAGTCTGATTTCATCTGATTTCGCAAATTTTTAAACAGTCAAAAAAGGGGTGTTGCTTATCATAGATTTGCTTCTGATGTGTTAAGGTTTTGTAATGCAGTGGAGGGTTTGAGACATTAAGAGTATGGGTGTTTTTTTTCTTTCAAATTTTTGTATTGTAATAGTATTTTATTTGTGTATTTTTTAAGTTTTAAGTGGTGCATCATTGTTGAAAGAATGTGTTGATTTTTGGCCAAAAAAGAGAGAGAAAGAAATAATAATAATAATAACAACAACAACAACAACAGCTTACCATATTTGGATAGAAAGGAACAAAAGGCTGTTCCAGCAGAAAAATGAAGCAACTGGGGATAAAATCAGGAAAATACAGAGATGATGTTTGGTTTTTGGAAAGTCTTGGCATTGTAATAGCTTCTTGATTCAAGTTCAGTTGATGATACATCAATGAAATACATTCACATTTCACAAAAAAAAAAAAAAAAACAACAACAACAATAATAATAATAATAATAATAATAGTAATATAAATAAATACATAAAGCATAAAATTTTTTTACAATGAATAAAGCATTAAATTTAAAGTACATTTATTATTATTTTTATCCAAAAAAAAATAAATGAAGAAAATCGAGAGGGAAAAAATAGAAAAAAATATGTAATTTTTTAATTACTTTTATTTCAATGCAAAAATACCCTTTTGACAAGTCAACAACTCACTTGTTGACCGTCACAAATTTAACGGTACTTGGATGGAAAAGTGGAAAAAAAATAAAAATAGAACTTATTGTATTTAATAAGGACGATTTGAACTTGATGTATATAGTAAGGACGGGATGCCAACTTATGGTATTTTTTTGATAATTAAGTGATGCTCTTTTAATTTTTAATATGATTGTATCAAAGCTGTAAATAACTTTTTCCATAAAAGCCTAATTATTATTTTTTTCTTAAACATTAAATAATAAATTTAATTTTTTTCAATATATATAAAAACAAAAAAAAAAAATACTTCTGTAATTAAGGCAAACAACTTAGGCAAATTTTAAAAAATCATACATGAAATTAGTTCAATTTGAGTTTGTAAGTTTGATGTTGTTTTATACTCATAATTTAAGTTGAAATTTGAGGGCATGTTTGATATAACTTAATTTGGGGTCTAAAGTTTTAAATCTAAAGACTAAACCATAAGCACTAAACTAATTAAGTTATCTTATTTGATAAAAGTCAAAATGTGAAGTCTAAAAATGATCTCTTAAACTCGAAATTTTAACACTTAAATCTTAAGTAATTAAGATTTCTACTTATAATTTTGTGGAAGAAAATAAATGGTGGCATGAACCGTAATAATAAGAATAATAGTATTGTTAATGAGTTTATGTAATAAAAAATTTTAGTTTTGATTATGCAACTATTCAAAAATTAATAACAATAGCAGATTATTATGGTAAATGTATATTTATGATAGAGTTTAGTCGTATTTAAAATTTTTATATTAAAAAAATATAAAGATAGAGAAATAATTAAAAAATTACTTCATATAAATTTCAATTTAAAAATAAACACCAAGACTAATAAAATAAACCAAATATAAGAAATGAAAAATATTAACATAAATTATGGAAAGGAAAAAATAGTGGCTCACGAATTCAGTTCAACAATTAGTGATATGCATATTACTTATTTTTATTTCAGGCCCACTTAATTTATTAAGACGTCGAACGTTTTGTTAGCAAACACAGTTAAAAATTAAGTACTTAATTAGTTAAGTTCTTAATCAGTTAAGTAGTTTTTAGACCACATTATGAAACAATGTTAATCAATTAAGGACTTAGTCAATCAAGTTTAAGTGATTAACATCTTTATCGATAAGGGTCTTAATTCACCTTATGAAACAATGTTAATCAATTAAGGACTTAGTCAATCAAGTTTAAGTGATTAACATCTTTATCGATAAGGGTCTTAATTCACCTTAAGAAAATAAAATTTTGAAAGAGTGTAAAAAAAAAAAATATTTTAAGAGGACAATTAAGGAGGAAAAAAGAAATAAAAAACATAACTATTTCAAAAATAATTGTCCTGTGATTACTAATTAGTCGTTGGTTTCTTACTTTTTCTTTTTTTTTTTTAATGTTAAAAGCTGTAATTTTATATATACCAAAATGAACCATTGGATCACAAGTTCCTACCTAAATTACAATTACAAAATGTACATTACACTATATTTACATCTCCCTTTCATGCGGCAATAAATTAATAGAGCTTCTTTTTTCGCCATTGCAGCCTCATGTTTTTTTTTGTTTTTGCTACTAATTGAATTGCATGTAAGGCATAATTAATTCAGACATTATTATTTTAGTTATCAAAATTTTTTCATTTGTGATTACTTAATTTGTTTAGGACAAATTTATTAACACTCTTTAGTAGTAATTATCAAATACACATAATTTTATTAATTACTTAAATAGGTTAATAAGTAAAAAGGTATCACCAGACTTTCTGATTTTCTCTCTTCTCTCTGACATCTCTGTTTCCTTCCGCCCAAGGCCGGCGATCTGCCGCCGGCCATAGGCCCTACACAACCAAATAAACCATATCTTTTGCTTAGATTTTGGTAAAGGCAAATCCAAAAATCAAACAAAATCACTCAATCTAAAATTAAAATCTAAGTCAACTTGAGATTCATTCAAAACCAACGATATTCGAAGGTGAGTCAACTTTTCTTCTTACCAAAGAAGAGGATGATCAATTGGCTGCCCCCTTCCGTCTAGCACTTGTAGGGAAATTTACTAACGACTGTCCGAAAATGGACTACTTAAGGTAAGAATTTCAAACTATCGGTTTCAAAGGAAGCTTCTCTGGATCAATCGACTCCCGACATATCCTCAAACAGAGCCTAAACAAACAAACAGAGCCTTAACAAACGAAAGCAGTGGAGGATAAGGTGGGTTTGTAAGTACTCGCTCCATTACATACAATTTAAAAAAACACTTAAAAAAAAGTTTTGAAATTACCATAATATCTTCAATCTGCTCAATTAAATTAAGTCGGTAGCATTAATATAATTTTTTTGAGGGTAAGTTCGGAAAAATTTGCAAAAATTTACATTGTAATTAGAAACATATTTTAGAATTTTATCTATTTTTATAAGATGAAACATATTTTAGGATGGAGAGAGTATATAATGTTTTCTCAATTTAAAAAGGGGGAAAAAAAAGAAAAACAACTGAAAAGGGAACTTATAGTGGTTCATCCAATGGGTAGATGTTGGACAGAAACAGCCATATTTGCATCTCTTTGTTGTCAATTCCCCTTGAATTTGTCCAGATGCTATCTATTTTATTATGGTTGAAATTAAAAATGATAATGTATTCTTGACTTCAAGTTACTCGTGGCTAAAGTTTATGATAGTTTAGTTCCCAACGAAAATGCTACAACATAGCTTGTTTTATATCTCCAAGAAAGGAAGTAGAAGTAGCGGATATACCAACAAATCAAAGCTTAATTTAAGCCGCACAACTAGCACATCATATCCAGCAAAAAGTAGAACGAATTTGGTTTGTAGAGCTAGGAAAGCTGAAAAACAAAATGACCAACTCCAAACAAAAATTCTTAATTGCAACCCTAATGATCATTGGGTTTTGGTGTTATGTTGTAAGTGGTACTCCCAACACTCAAATTGGTTTCGAAGGATGTAGCAAAACCACATATGCCGCTGGCGATCCTTATGGAAAAGCCGTAGTTTCTATTCTCAGTGATGTAACGAAGAAGACACCCTCTTCCCCAAAACATAGTTATAAAGTTGTATCGCACGATCCTAATTCTCCATCTGTTGCCTTCGGAGTTTGTGGTTCGTCGTTGAGTGATGAAGATTGCTCTAGTTGCATGATCGTTGCATCTAACGAAGTACAAACTCTTTGCTCTGGTCACATTTCCGGCATCGTCCTCCTTGGAGATTGTACAATTGGATACGCAAAGAAGACTAAGAAGGCATAATCAACGCCATTTTGCTATTTCCTTTATTTTACAAATAATTTCAGTGTAACATTTCCTTTGTTTACTTGAAGCAGCGTTATGATTATTATATATACCTATGTTGACCATGGACTGACCATAGTCTCTAAGTCAATCATTTTATTGTCCATGTGTGTACATGAGATTGTGCTGAGCTGCAAAGGATTTTTAAAAATTTAGAATTCTCTGCCTAAAACATGTTACTCCTTCTGTTTTGAAATTAGTCTAGTTTTGATTTTTATTTCTAATTCAAATTGTACTAAAACTAAAAACACAACTAGGCAATAATTTTGGGATGGATGGAGTATTTCTTTGCCACAATAATCAAGATGCGCAGGATTCTACAATCTTCAAGTCTCAAAATAAAATCTTAATGCACAATTCATATGTCACTTGAAAAGGTAGGATTAATTATTCTTTGAAGAGTATTGCACTTGACCCGCATATCAAAAGAAAACAAAAAAAGATAAACTAATGGAAGTGAGCGACTTGATTAATTCAATGAAAAGCTAAATTCCTTTCGTACGGAAAAATAGTATACATTGTAAATTGAAATTATATCATATCTTGTACAATTCACAATGTACAATGAGCATTTTTCTCTTTGGGCAGAAAAAGTACGAATTAGAATGCATAAATTTAAAGGACTGTGGACTATATGGTATACTATCAGACTTAAAACATCACCTATAAGAATATGGGTTGCAGGATCTTTTTTGGGTGATTTAATTAAGGCTAAGAATGAGACAAAATTTTAGAAAAGAAATCACAACTACAGATAGTTACGAAGTCACGAAGTCAATGATGCCCTTCCGAACTATTAATACATGGGAAATAGAAGTTGAAATAAAATTCGCCCTACAAAAAGGTGACTAAACCAAATGAATGCTAGCCAAGAGCTATTGGGGAGAAGCATAGTGCCCAACATGAAATCGCTGTCATCAACATGAGAAAACTGCGCCAGAATTTTGTTTTATTTTTTGGTTTTTTGTTTTTCTTTTTGTTTTTTTTTTTTTTTGGGTGCTCAGCTTCTACAAAATTTAATCGGCAAAATCAGATGGATGGAAACATGTCGTTTTGTATGACTTCATTTGGAACTTCTTGCTAGGTCAATGCTTCTTGTGTCAAAACAAATTTAAGACTACAAAGCAAACACAAACAAACACTACCCATGATTTTGATTGAGGAACAAATCCACAAAATTTGCTAACTGCTAATACTACTAAATCTAAGAAAGCCAACCACCTCTATTGATTTGTCCATTCGGTAGATGTTAGCCATATAAGGCCATAAAAAGGAGCGTCCATTTTTTTGCAAATTGCACCAAAATTTTTAAAATGTGCCATAGGTTAGTTCACAAAAACTTTTTGCTTTTCCCATGGCTTCTTTTACCTTATACCAAGAAAGACGGTAGAATTAACGGAAATACCGATACATCAAATTCTACTTTAAGCAACACAATACCACATTGATCAAAGCAAGCATAGCTAAAAAGATGACTAATTTCATTACAAGTCTCGTGATAATAACGCTAATGGTCATGGGGTTATGGTGTTGTGTCACAAATGGTGCTCCAAACACGAACATTAATTTTGAAGCTTGCAGTAGAACCACATATGCTGCAGGCGAACCTTACGGAAATGGCGTAGCTTATGTTCTTGACGATATAACGAGTAACGCGCCCAATGCATCGGGACCGAAGTACGAATCAGTATCTCCGGATCTCAATGCTCTATGTTATGGTTCTGGATTTTGTGTTTCAGCTTTGACATTTGAAGATTGCTCCACTTGCATGTTGGCTGCGTCTACGGAAATCCAAAATCACTGCGCTGGTCACATTTGGGGTGTTGTGCTGCTTCAAGATTGTTCGATTGCATACAAAAAGGTGGGTGATAAGGATAAGCAACGCCATTGATGGCATCTCTTGATTTGGTTTGTTCAAGCGGATTTTGCAGGGTCCTTTATTTCAAACAAATAGAAATGTTGGTATTGTTAATTTACGTTGTTTAACTTCATTTCTAGTCTAATAATTATCTGCTGGTCTTTGATGTGTTTGAAACAGAGAAAAAGGAGTTTGTTTTTCATGCATCAAAATGTGAAGTCAATTTTTTTAAAGAATATGAGTCATAAAGACTGAAGTACTGTCCATGAGTTTTGTTTGTTTTTTGCGTTACAGTAAAGGAGGCTATTGCCTGACATTTGACTAACGCATTACCTTATTACCAAACAAATCTTATATTTATAGTAAATGAAGGAAGAAGCATTTATAGTGATCACTTGTCCACTCGGTAGAGATTAGTCATGTGGAGCCAAAAATGCATCTTTGAAGTAAAAACAGTTTCATTGAGCCTTTAATTCTTGTTACTCACGAGAACGTAACAAAGTTTTTTTTTTTTTTTTGACAAACAGAACGTAACAAAGTTAGGTTCACAAGAAAACAAACAAAAGCTATCTCACAGCTTGTCTTGTATGGATAATCAAGACTCACCACACTAAATCAGCGGATACATCAACACATCAAACACCAATTTAGGCAACAAACTAGAATAACAAACCCAATTGTTCGAAATGACTCATTTTACTCCGAATCTCGTGATTGGAACAGTAATGGTAATTGGGTTATGGTGTAGTTTAGCAAGCAGTACTCCAAACACCGGTCTTATCAATGCAGTATGCAGCAGTACAACCTACGTAGCCGGGGATCCGTATGTAAATAGTGTCGCTTATGTTCTTGATGATGTGACAATTAAAACGCCCTTCGCGACATCGTACGATTATCAAGATGAGTCTCCTTATCCTTCTTCTCCTGCTTCTGGTTTTGGGATTTGTACATCTTCTTTATCTAAGGCTGATTGCTCCACTTGCATAGTTGCTGCATTTAACGAAATTCGGAACCATTGCGCTGGCCATATCTCTGGTGTTGTTCTCCTCGGAGATTGTTCAATCGGATATGCCAATGTTTCATGACGAAAATATTAAAAATTTATTTGATTTGGATTGTTGATTTGTTTTATTAATCGGTTTGATTGATGTTTAGTATAGGAAAAATGTAATATACAGCAGATTTACTCACTTTTGCAGGCCAACCAATATGAATTAACTATTATCGTTGTTTGCCTATGTATGTTTCGCTCTCTCCGGTTAAATTAATATTATCCGGCTCAATGCATGTATCAAAATGAACACGTTATTGTGGTGCAACAGTTACATTAAAGATTTACTGGTTTGCTGTAATAACTGATTGTTGATCTATGATATCCATTTCACTTATGTATTATATGGATTATATATAATAGAAAATCATACTCATTGGGGAAACGCTTTTTTCAGTTTTGATATACCCAATCTATCTGTTCCAAAAGAAATACTACTACAAATTAAATTTTGAGATTAGTATAAAAACTAGGTATACCTTGCGGTCACGTCTTTTTTTTCCACATGGATTATATATAATAGAAAACTCTTTTTTTTTTCCACACAACTTGTGGTCACGTCCAATAAAAACAAGCTCCTAGGTATCCCTTGCACTGTATACCTAAGAGGTGCGTGTGTTTCAATTTTGGCTAGAAAAGGTGGAGGTTTTTGTCCTTGTTTCATGCCTTCACTCGCGCATTTAAACTCCCTAATCACCGGATTTATTACATGATCAAAAAAACATGATCTCCACTCATTTTTTAAATTTGAACGATTAATTTTTTTTCCCAATATTATGAACATCATTCAATAATTGTACCAACTCTGAGAAAATTATTCAAAAATCATCGAAATAGTGTTCAAACAAAAAAAAATTTATAACCATGGAAGGTGAAGATTTATGCAACAGAACGGATTCATGTGATGATGATTGGATAGATGGTGAAGAAGTTCGCGAAATTGTATATGAAGTTGCTACCATGGATGGAAATATAAATTCAAATAAAGTAGAAGTAATCGGTGATGTTGATCATGTTTCTTGACCATTCATGCCCCAAAGAATGATAGCTTGATTCAACGAAGACGGCATATAGCGCGCCGAGTGAGTCCAATCACAGCCTAGTAACGCATTGTAGCATGCTTTAGTATCCACCACAAAGAAAGGAAAAACAATTGATTTTGAACCGACAGTGATTTCCAAGGGGAGAATTCAACAAGTGCTAGTTTTATCACCTAGGAAACTACTGACAAATATTTCTGTAGAACCAAGTCTTGCATATGTTTCCCTAACTTACGCATGGCCGAAAAAGGTAAAACGTTGATTGCAACACCATTATCTACTAAAACACCTTTCAAGGGCATGCCACCCATGGTGGCACAAATAAATAACGGGTGGATATGAGTGGTAGCCGTATCATTCGGTTGTGTTAGCATGACGTTTGAAGATTGTCCCGACCATTCCACTATTTGAATTCCATATTGCTTCACTGCCACAGGAGCCATTCGTGGTATCTGTTCGTCGGTATCGGATATATCAATCATCGCAGTATCAGTACTTGACACCGGGAACCAGTGATGGAACCAGACCAGTTTATTCGCAGGGTCGATCATAACTAGAAATTTTTTTTCCAAAAATATGTAAAAATTCTAAGGTATTTCTTTAAAAAAATTTGCCGATCCCAGTGTCGACGGACCCCCTTTACTTCCCCCTAGGTGCGTCCCCACGGGGGACTCAGCCGAGGATGAATCGGAAGTGGTACGTAACGTCCGTGGCAAGACATAGACCATGTTAACTGAAGGATTGTGATCCGCTACTCTTCGCCAATATTGCCGTTTAGGAAGAGGATGTCTTGGTTTGTGCGGTGAACTAGAAGACATCCTGGATTGTTGGCTCGATTATATATCCTTATAGTAACAAGCTTTCAACCATTGCCATTGATGTTTCTGAGTACAGGTAAGATCTGACGAAACAAGAGGAACAGCTGGAAACTTTTGATGCCGGTTATGATGCCATTGATTATCATTAACCACTTTCGGTTTAACCATCCTAGGATTTCGTGCGAGAGTAGGTGATCTAGGTTCGGACAGTCTATCCCATACTGACATTCCTGCAGAATCAGATGATTTCTTTGACATTAGTGGAGTTACTTCGGTAGCGACCGGTACTTGCCGATTTCCCAAATATACTATAGAAACATGTCCATAAATAGGAGCGGCTAGGCCAGATGGTTTGAACTCTACCAGGGAAATTGACTATGGTGGAGGAACAAATGGTAAGAGATGGTGATGAGGATGAATGGTTGCTTGGCAGAGATGATTCTGTAGGATCTTTGCTGGTGCCGGTTTGTGAATCCACGTCTGTGGTTGGCCGTCCACCATAATTGTGGCCTCTTGCCATGGGATAGGTTGATGATAATGACCATCAAAACGCTGCTCTAGTTCAGTCAACTAATGTTTGAATCCACTGAGAACCGCATCACATTGCAAACATCCGGTAGTATTACATGCCACAGGCATGTGACCATTCAAACAAATGTTGACCATGCGACCTGGATGCCCCGTTGGAAACGGATTAACATTCATCTCCACCAGATCATCGAATTTGACTTTCCCTTCATCAATCATCTTTTCAAGTAATTCCGAAAACCCACACTGTCATTGGTAGTATGTGTCCAGGAGATTTTCTTGTGATTTCTGACAGTTTTGGTGGTTGACAACCTTTCCTATACCGTACATGACCTATCATCATCATGTCGTCAAAAATTGCTTCTTGTTAAGTAATGTCAAAAGAATAAACCTTTGCATTTGCTGCTGTTTCAGAAGTTTTGGCAGTACCAGAAGAAGACACTCCTTGAGTGTTTACCTCTGACGCAACTGGCCTGCGTAATGCTTCACATGTATATTCTTTCAAATTAATAATCTCTGCAGCATTGACACTATCCCAAGGTTGATCTTCATCATCAGAAGAACTCCATGAAACATTATTAACCTCTGCAATAGGTTCTTTGTTAACCCATGACTTGGGCTTAGTTGGCTTCGATTCCCTTTTGGCTCTAATTACTTTCTCCGTGTTGTGAACAACCTCCATAAGTTGTGTCAAAGATGGAATCGGTTGTGGCGTGACTGCCAATTTTACCTTGAAACCTTGAATACCTGATATCACCATCTTGACAAAGGTTGATTATTCATATCTACCTGAAGTAGCTCTTGCTATTTTTGCATTCATTTGCCGGAATCGGTAAGATATGCTTCAGCTATTTCACTGGCTTTTTGTTGTACTTGTGACAGGTTAACAATTGAAAGCCTTGGTGTAGTACGATGGAAATTGTGAATGAAAACTCGTTTCTGGATATTCCAATCAGCAACGGATCCTGGCTCTAAAGTTCGATACTTATCTAATGCTTTGTCGGCCAGTGAATATGTGAATAATCGCAAATTTAGGGAAGGGTTATGGCCAACCTCTCCACATTCCAAGTGAAAACACCCGATATGATTCTCAGGGCGATGATCATCCTTATAAGTAAATTTCTTAAAATCCGGCATCTTGTAATTTCTTTGTAAAGGTTCAACCTCTACATAATTTGGATAAGGTTTTTCCATTACTTCATGCACTTCTATCCCATGTTCCTTTCGGACCATATCTTCCACCATGGTTTTTAAACCGGTTTTTGCAGTAAATATAGTTGTAGCGTCTTCCCCTTGGTTAAAACCATCTTGTCGGAACTTCCTTTTAGGCTCTTGGTAGAATTGTGTCTCTGGTTGATTTTCCCGTTGGGGGTTTGTGGTATCTCTCCTTCCAGTGTTGTTCCTGGCTTTGGCGCGGTTTTGTGCTTGATTGGCTTCGTATTCTATCCACTACTATTCTTCCAACATCTCATCAACCGTGGAAATATACCTTGCATAATCTTAGGCACAGTCTCCTGTTAGCCTGATTGTTCTTGCAACGAATTCCCTGCTCCTTGCCGCAAAGTCCTTTGTGGAGTTGGCACATTACTAGCCACATGTTCTTGTTGATGTCCATATACAATAAACCTTTGATCATTAGTAAGAGGATTTATTGTTGATGTCCACATGTTCGTGTGCATCGGTCGAACATTCGTTGGGGTTTGTAATGTTTGAGTTTGTGCACTCTCAGTGCCTTGTGCCTGAAAGTTCTATCCATTAAAAGGATTTGGTAGAAGTATTGGTCTTGGTGGTGGTGTTATTCCCCTAGGAGGAGTGAAACTACCCATTGGTGGGTATCCCCGAGCTTTTGGTGGCCACCTCATAGCTGGAATAGTTGTTGTGGAACCATAACCTGTAATTGATCCATCATCGCTTCCATAATAAGGTATCAGACGGCCGTCAAAAGTTAAATTGCCAGCTTGCGGGGTAAATACTGGTTGACTTGGTTCAACTCGACAATACCAACTGCAATCTAGTATTGATGTATTCTCTGGAACCCCTCTTGTACCGATGTTGAAGCATTGGAGAACAAAGCATAATCATGTGTGGTTGCTGTAGATGGATTCAATATTGGTACTTTCATTGATGTATCTTGAGTTTTAGGTGGAGTTTCAGATACTGTCGCTCCGTTAGGATTGACCTTTTGGAGGGATTGTTCCAGCGCCGCGATACTTGCCAACATGCTAGTGATATTATTGTTTTGTTGGCCGATGATGATTTGCTCAAGACTTTGGGGTGTGTTATATAGTGATTCTTTGGTACGACCCAACTGATCAAGTCCTAATTGGGCGTTTCACAATAATGATTCATGTTCTAAAGCTTGATCCACGCCTGGGTTATGATAGTACTGAGAGTGATACGAACTCTTCAACTCAGCATCCAAATTCCGGTTCACTGGAAGAGTAAAGACTCCTGACGCCAGCAACGGAAGAGTTGCAGATATGCCTATTTCTCCGGTCGATTTTGCTTCTTCAGTTGTTGACGGAGCAGAAGAAGTAACTCTTGTCAGAACAGAAGTTGTAGATGTTGTTGTTGACATGGCCTCTGAGAATAAATTTGTTGGCTTTACACCTAGTCAAGACACGCAAATTGGTCCCACGGGGTGTGCCAATTTATGTTCGTGTGGAAACAATCAGTGAAAACCGATGTACGCTTGCAAACAATTTCTAACGAAAGTGTGTAATTGGAGAGATGCGATATTCGGCTAGGTGTAAAGACAAATGATGTGAAACATGTAACCAACTTGAATAAAGACTGAATGGATTGAAAACTGATGAATTAAACGAATTACAATAACGTAAATCGAATAAAAGAATTGCAAAAGTGCTAGGAAAAAGAATAATAGGGTGCTAAAAAAATAAGAAAAGAGAGTTTTTTGTAGCTTGTGATTTGCTTGTGTTGGTGATGAGTTGTTTGTCTTCCGATGCCCTAGCTCTTTTTTCGTAGGTTTCAGTAAACTCCTTGAGTTGGTTCAATATCTGATTCCTAGTTGAATCCCGTATTTCCGATTGTGAATTACAACAGAATTCTGTTTCCAATTTCCTATTTCGGCCACAAATGAAACCCTTCTCCGACATGGATTTGGTCACTTCGAGTCAGGTGGGCTTTCGATCCATCATCATTTCCAACTCGTCTATAGATTCTTAGTTACAAGCAAACTGGCTGATTCACCAAATTTGTTGGCAAGACAGGTTTCATTTAAAATTGGTGCTAACACAGAGACTATTCCTGCTATCATCCAGCTTATGAAATAATGTATCAGGACTTAAGAGTATTTTGTATCTTGATCTCTGTTCTTTTGTTATGGAACGAGTGTGTGATCCGTTCGGTGGTCATGCCTTGCTCCCTGCTCCATATGGCAGATTCCATTCAGATTTCTGCAATCTATGAACAACCTAAATTGTGTATTAATAATTCACTAAACTAATATGTAAATGTGTTTGATGATTAAGATGTACATTATTATTTTATAAAGGATCGATATACAACAAGATGAGAAACTTGAATAAAGAAACCTGCATCCAAAGTTAAGGAATTTGGGACGAAGTGGGTCTACGACGTGGCCTGTTGCCGTTTTCCTGAATTATGAAAATTTCATTATCCAAGTGACCATTTCATCTATCTTGAGGATCCATCTTCTTTCAATATCCTTTGATGACTCAAAAAAAAAAGGGGGCAAATTTTAACAATTAATCTATGAGGAATGCTTGCAAATACAATGATTTTAAATCTGTGTAAAAGAAAATTTAAATGAACGGTGTTTGTAATCGTTAAAAACAATAGAATGACATAGGAGATAAAATATAGAAAATATAAAAGCTCGGACCAAAAAAAAAAAAAATGAAAAGATGAGTGCAATTGAAACCAATTAGGAAATTTAGAGCGATTAATCTCAATTCTATTAAAATTTGGATCTCACATGCCAAATCCAATTACTAATTGGTAAGGTTGGTCAATGAACTTATAAATAAGTCATAGATGTTGAGTTGATTCTCTCAACATGCGCGTAGCAAATATTTTGCCAAAGGTTGTTCTTTTACATGGTTTAAAATTGAAAGATGTTAAACATATTGAGCACTCAATAAATATGTATGTTATGTTTTTTATTTTGTTCATTCAAAAACAAAATTGAAGAAATAGACTTAACGTAAAGCAAGAAAACTTTAGCTCTAACAACAACAATAACCTTTCTATTAAAAGCAAAATAATAAGTATAGTAAAATATGGAAGAAAAAAATTTAATGGTTAGATACAAAATACAATATGGGATTGATATGTTTAAACAAAGCAGAAAAAATAATAAACTTTCATAATTTATACATGACTCGCTTGAACTTTGCATGGTAACGATACTATTGTTGCTATCATCAAGCTTATGTAATAATCTATTGTGACTTAAGAATAGATATTTCGTATCTAGGATGTGACCTATTGCCGTTTCCCTGAATAATGAAAATCTAACTATCCAAGTGACAATTTAATCCATCTTGAGGATCCACCTTCTTTCAATATCCTATGATGACTCAAAAAAGAGAAAATTTCAAAAATTAATCTATGAGGAATGCTTGCAAATACAATGTTTTTTAATCTGTGAAAAATAAAATGTAAATGGACAGTATTTTGAATCGTTAAAAACAATAGGATGAAATGGGAGATAAAATACAAAACATGTAAAAGCTCGGCAAAAAAAATTGAAAAGGTGAGGGCAATTTGAACTATTCTAGAAATTTTGAGCTAGTAATCTCAATTCTATTAAAATTGGTAGCTCACAAGTCAAATCCAATTACTAATAAGTAGGGTTTGTTTGGGAGCTTATAATGAAGTCATAGATGGGGAGCTGTTTCTCTGAACCTGCCCGTATTAATAAAGTAGCCAGCAAATGTTTTGGACCTTCTACCCTTTTCCAAAGGCTGTTCACATGACCTAGAATTGTAGAATGTTAGAGATATTGATAACTCAATAAATTTGTATGTTATATTTTTAGTTTGTTAATAGAGAAATAAAAACTTCAAGAAAAGAAATTTAACATGAACCAAGAAAACATTACCTCAAACCACAGTAATAATCTCCCATTAGTCACCCATCTGTTCTCTTACCACGCCTCCCTAACTTAACGGCACCCTACTACTCCTAGCGGCCATAATGGCCGGCGATTCACCTCTGAAGGCAGCTAAACCTCCCCTCTCTTTTGCTAGCCTGTTTTTTAAACCCTCAGATCCAAAACCTCAAGCACAATCTTTGATTAAAGAAGTTAAGTACATCAATGGCTCCTCTCGAGTTTGAAGATGAAGAATTTTATCTCTTAATCAAGCCACACCACCTTAGCCTTGTTGGGAATTTTTCCTATGGAAGACTGAAGATGGAAGAGATCGACAACGAATTCAAGAAAATTGGCTTTAATGGACACTTCACTGTTGGTTTGTTTAACCCTATGCTCATTTTGATTCGATTTGACAACGAAGAGGATTACCAACATTATTCGATTGGAACCTTTTGGAACATCGCGGGTTACTCCATGCACATTCTTAAATGATAGCCAGGATTCCGCTTTGAGGAAGATCCACCTATAGTACCTATATGGGTGTCTCTATGCGTTCTTCCTGTGGAGTATATGCACCCGGAGGTACTCTACTCAATAGCCATAGCAATAGGGAAGCCATTGAAGGTTGATACTCCCACTCTAAACATGTCAAGACTCTCGGTGGCGAGATTCTGTGTGGAAGTAGATCTCACCAAGGAATTTTCGAAATCGGTGAAAATTGGGAAAAAAGGAAAGAAGCACGAGCAACTATTCACCTATGAACACATTCCTTCCTATTGCTCTAAATGTTGTATAATAGGGCATAAAGAAGTGAACTGTTTCATTGGAAAACCTCAACAACAAATAGAAATTGTGAAGGAAAATATGAAGAAAAGATCAATCCTGAAGAATAAAAACAAAGGAGCCCAGCCGGCACTAAAAATTGGTGATAATGTGGATGAATCTGGCCTTGGTGTGGAAATTATTCAATCAAATCCTTTATTTGCTATAGGTGTTGAATTGCAGCCTCCCATGAAGCAAGTGACTGAGTCACGCAAAGAACAAGATGCACAAACCCTAGCTCCGCACCCCCCTGCGAAAACCCTAATTACACGCGCCCCTGAGGAAATTGTGATTGCACGACAAGCTGACTCAATGACAGGGCTGTCATCTTTGGAAAAGCTTGCTATTCCAGTGGATGTCCCTGATGAACTGCCTCCGCCACCAGGGGTTTCCAATCGATTTGTGGTGTTGGAGACAATTGATGAGTCTGAGGAAGATGATACTGTTGAAAATATCTTTATTGAAGATTTGACTATTGAGCACACTTCTCTGGACCTTACTATTCCAGCAGTGGCCCTGCAACACCTTCAAAATGCTCTGGAGACTATAACAGCTGGATAGAGGAATTTCATTAGGTACTGGAAGACATTCAGACGATAATGAGATAAGAAAAACTTCTGGAACTGTGGAGATTGATAACTGCGATCACGACTTCTGTTCTGATGGAGATGATGAATGTGCACATGATTCAGTGCAAGGGGAAGAGTTTGTGCCTAAAAAACATGGTCGTAAATCCAAAGTTGAACGGGCATTGTTGCAAGAAGGGGTGATCCCTCGAAGATCGCCGTATCTTCAAGAATAAGTTCCCACTGGTCCCACCTTTTTCCTTTGATTTTTTTTCCATGATTAGTCAATTAATTTGGAATGTTTGAGGTATTAAAAATCAAGCATCCTAGCGACGTGTGAAATCTTTAATAAGAAGGTATAAGGTTTCTATTTTGGTTGTCTTTGATCCTATGGTTGATTGTAGCCAGATTAAAAGCTTTTGGCATGACCTCAATTTTGATCAGGCGATTTCATCTTCTTCTAGCAAGATTTAGGTGTTGTCAGAAGGAGTTTACAGCTTCTGTGGTTGGTGACAGTGAGCTAGTGATTCACTTTGAAATTTCACATGTTTCTGTCTCCACTAAATTCTTTTTTCTCGACTGTTTATGCTAAAACTACCAGGATTGCACAAAAAGCTTTGTGGAGGAATTCGGCCAACTTTAAACAGGTTATCTCACGTTCTCCGTGGATGGTAGCCGGGGATTTCAATGTGATTCGCGCTCTGGATGAATACTCTGGGATGTGAGTTTAAGACCATGGGGCTATATCGGATTTTCATGAATGTATCTCAAATTGTAACCTGCTTGAATTGCCGGCAACGGGTGAAGACTTTACTTGGGGAGGAACAAGGTCCACTGGTTGGGTTAGCAAGAAACTTGATAGAGTTTTAGTGTATCAAGAATGGCATGATTTCTTTCCAAACTCTTCTGTGGAAAATTTCAAAAAAACCACCTCAAATCATAGTCCGTTATTGCACCTTTTTGCTATGCAGGAAGAAACTAAACCAAGGGTTTTCCAAGTCCAAAAGATATGGTTGCGTCAGGAGGAGTTCAAAGATGTGGTTAAAGAATGTTGGGATCAGCCATTAGAGCAAGAAGAAATGCTTATGTTCTCCTTGAAGCCGCGGAGGCTGAAGATGTGATTAAAGGTATGGAACAAGGAGATCTTTGGAGATGTTTTCCAAAATTTGAAGGAGGCAGATGAAAAGGTCCAGCAATTGGAGGGCAATTTTGACATCTCTGGAACGGATCAAGACAGTATTAATCTTCACCTGGCAAAGGCTCAGTTGTTGTGCAAGTTGAAGGAACATGACGATTTTTGGTCGCAAAAAATGAGGTTAAAATGGATGAAAGAGGCCAATACTAAGTATTTTCATGCTGTTTTGAAGGAACGGCATGTGAAGCAGAGTTTCTTTAAAATTCGAGCAAAAAATGGCACCATGTTGACTTCCCGGGATGATATTGAACAAGAGACAGTGAGGTTTTTTAAAGTTCTTTTGAATGATTCGAATGATGATCAAGATCAGGAGGCCGCGGAAAACGATCTACTCCAACATATACTGACTGCTCTTACTCCTAATGATGCTCGGTTGCTGACCAAACCAATTGCATTAGAGGAGATTAAGGAGGCGGTGTTTAATCTAGGGGAGGACAGTGCGCCAGGAATCAATGGTTTTGAAGGGGTTTTCTATAGATCGTGTTGAGAGATAATTTCTCAAGATTTAAGGTCTCCTGTAAGGAGTTTATGCATGGTAACCCCATTCCTAGATCGCTATCTAGTGCTCTCATCACTCTAATTCTGAAGAAGAGCATTGTGAATACCTTCTCAGATTATAGGCCTATAAGCCTTTGAAATTTTCTAAATAAAGTTTTTATAAAGGTTCTTACGGATCGGCTAAAAATTTTGTTGCCAAAGCTAATATCAGAAGAGAAAAGGGCGTCCCATGAAGAGAGGGATATTTTTTATAATGTCTTGCTTACTCAAGACCTTTGCCAATTTCTTGACGAGAAAGCTGAAGGGGAGAATTTTATTTTGAAGTTGGGCATGATGAAGGCTTTTGATTGTGTGAAGTGGAGTTTTTTTTTTTGAAAGAGTATTACTCAAGTTTGGTTTTTTGCCATCTTTTGTTCTCTTGACAATGAATAATTTGAGGAATAGTTGGTTCTCTGTCGTGATAAATGGATCCCCTGTTGGTTTTTTTTCAGTCTTCTCGCGGCATCAAGCAAGGGGATCCTTTGTCCCCCTATTTATTTATCTTTGTCTCTTCTGGAAAGGTCAATGGTTATATCTCATCTTGCCTTTGCGGATAATTTGATTATCTTCTCAAGGGATTTGAAGAGGTCTTTTTGAGAGCTTAATGGTTTCTTTATTGCATATGAGAAGGTTTCTAGCCAAAAAATAAGTCGTCAAAAAAGTGCCTTCATGGTTTCTGAGAAGTGTCCGCCTAGAAGGGGAGTAGTTATTCAGGGTTCTCCTTTTACTTGTCTTGGTTGCCGTATATATCAATGAAGGCGCAAAGCTTCCACTTTATGATTTTTATAGGATAAGTTTGATGATAAACTTCTAAGTTGGAAAAAGAAGTTGCTAAGTATGGGAGGCCGGCTTATTCTCATTAAGCATGTGTTGTCTTCAATCCCTATTCATGTTTTGTCGGCCATTCCTCCTCCCAAGTCCCTTATTCACAAAATGGAGAGTAAATGTCAAAGGTTCTTATGGTGCGGAGTTGCGGATGATAATAAAAGGCATTGGAGGTCTTGGGAGCGAATTACATTTCCAGCTTTTGAGAATGGTCTAGGGATTCAAAGTTTTAAAGAAAATATAGATCCTTTATCATGTATGCTATGGTGGAAATGGAAACAGAAGAAAAGGCTTTTGGTGTCACTTTCTTGCTTCTTTGTCGCGTACCTCCAAGAAAAAAACATCCAGGAATCGTCTAAATGCCACTGATCATCTGGCGGTTCAACATACCAAGGTGCTTCTTATAGGAGGAGATCGCCTTTTCTAGTTTGATAATTGGTCGTCTTTTGGAGTATTATGGTATAGCAATCATGCTAATCTGCGTTATCCAGGTTTGAGTATAAAGAGCTTCTTCCTTAACAGACAACATTACCTTGATGATTTTATGTTTTATCTACCAGATAATGTTGTTACCTTCCTTGTAAATTTTAGTCATGATTTTCAGAATGATGATGATATTCTCTTTTGGCAACCAAACTCTAATAGTGCATTTACTGTTAAATCTACCTTTGAAGCCTTGAGGCACAAGCAACCAAAGGAAGGTTGGGTGCGGAATGTATGGCAGTCCATTATTCCTTTAAGAGTTTCGCACTTTTATCTGGAACCTGCAGAATAGACTTTTGCCATGTCCTAGAAATAATGAAATTGATCATTGTTTTTTTGGTTGTATAATGGCACGACAACTCTAGTTTCATTTTGCAGCTATTATGCGGATTAGTGTCTTGGGAGTCAATTCACTAGCTTCAATGCTGGAAAGATTGTGGCGGAAAGGTGATTTTAAAGCAGCAAGAGGTGCACTTCAAAGAATCATTCCAGCAATTATGTTGGGGGAACTTTGGAAGGCACGGAACAAGTCTATCTTTGAAGGGTAACGGCAAACTCTTAAGGGCTCAGTTCATGTTACTATGAACCAAGCTAGATCTCTAGTATGTATTCATGATCTAAAGTTATGCAATGAGGAGGAACGATGCTTTGTTACGGCAAACTTTGGTCTTGCTCTAACTCGCATTATTTGGCCGCGGTTTTTGAAGATTGTTTGGACTCGCCCGGCACTAAATTCCTTTATTTTGAATATTGATGGCTCATCAATGAGTAGTGATTATGGTTATGGATTTGTTGTTCATGGAGGAGGTGGTTTACTGGTGTATGGTGAGAATGGATATCTAGGAGGGGGTGATAGATTTAAAGATGGAGTCCTTGGTGCGCTTTTTGGATTGCGGAGGTGAGACTTCTTGTGTCTCCCGAATCTAACTCTTCAGATAGATAAAAAGCATTGGCGGATGCTTTGGTTCGTGGTTCTGGTTTTCCATGGGAGTATTACCTGCCTTTCCAGGAAATGTCTTTAATAATTTGAAAGAATAGTTAGCAAGTTTTGCATGTTTATGGAGAAGCAAATTCAGTGGCAGATAGATTAGCTAAAAATATATCTTCTGGCATTTCTGAAATGTACCATAGTATAGACTCTCTATCTGGTGATGTAAAAAGATTATTGATTTTAGATCAAATATTCTTCCCTTATGTTAGAACTAGATATGCTTGATGTACAAGTCCAAAGGTTCTTCTTGCCTTTGGCACTGTTTTTCTATATATGCAATAAAAACAGTAAGGGGTAAATGATATGAATCTTGAGGCAAAGGTGGCAGATTTACCTCGACGCGGAAGCTATGAATTTCCCAGGACTTGAAAACTTGCAAATCCAATATTATGTACTCCACAACTCACGAAAATTCAAAGAAAAGAAGAGATGCAAACCGCAAAAATTTGCACCAAAAAGGGATGGAAAGGTTTAGAAGATGTAGAAAGTGTTTAAGGTTAGCAACCCAATCGGTCACCTCTCTAACAACCCTATCCCTTCGATTTATGGATAGAACGGCTAGCGAAAAGGCTCCAATGAACAACTAACAAAGCTCCACAAGTAGAAAAACACCTATTCTACTCGCATGCATCAACAAAGCACAAGCTTGTGTGCAATGCACTAATCTTCGAAAAGAGTAGCAAAAGAACACAGAGTTTCCTCTTGTTTCATATTGAAATAATTCATAAAAGGTACCAATGAAATGCTGGCCTATTTATAGTAGAGGGGGCCGAAATTCTCCTATGAAGTAGGAGAAAAGTTTGATCTCTAACTCTATTCATACTTTAAAGAACTAGAAATCAACTTAACCTCTAATTGACAACTTGTGTCTTATCTATTAAGGCAATGTATCTAGGCACCTTTATAGACTTTAAGACACGCTAGTCTAATGAAAATATAACTCCAAATACAAAAAGATATTCTC